ATGAAAATTAGCAATTATTGAGCTGCCTCGTTGAAAATATTCTTCTTATTGTATTGGGAAATGTATGCGTACAAAGTGGATACAAACAAGACTCGTTATTATTTATTACACACTGCGAGACTTTAACAAACATAAATTCACACACACAACAACACCGAGATTGAACTTTAAAAAAAGCAAAGACATGATATTATACAATGGAAGTTTTACCATGTTTGAAGAGGAAAACAAATTAAGGTTAAACATCGAACCATGACGAAGATGTTGCATCCACAATGTATTGAGAAGCTGGAGCAGTAACAATAGCCTTGTTCCTTGATCCTTCCCCTTTGTTACCGTCCACGACTCCTTCGTCTCTTTCGTCTTCGTTTTCTCCAACATCGTCCTCAGGTGGCTGCATATCTCCGGGAGACGAACGAATCTTCTCCAATTGCATCGACACTTCTCTCATGCTTGGTCGGTTCCTCCCTTTCAAATTAAGACACTTTCTAGCGATTTTTGCAACAACAACCACTTGATTCAGCTTGCAACTATCTCTTATCCGAGCATCGATAATGTTGGAAACTCTATTCTCTTTCATTGCAAGAATGAAATAAGTTGCTAACTTCATGTTTTCTTTAGACCGCATGCAAGAAATCGATTCTTCTCCAGTGATTAACTCCGCTAGCACAACCCCAAAGCTATAAACATCGCTTTTGTCTGTGTATTGTTTTGACTGTAAGTATTCAGGATCCATATATCCGTCCGTATCTGAAACTACGGTTGTCAAATCTGTATGATCAACCGTTAAAATTCCAAAATCAGATACTTTGGCTCGATATTTCTCATCTAGCATTATGTTTTCGGACTTGACGTCTCTGTGATAGATTGGAGTAGGTGTAGAGGAGTGCAAGTATGAGAGAGCTCCTGCAACATCTACAGCAATGCAGAGACGCACTTCCCAAGTAGCCATGGTGTTATCATCAGATTCATCGTGAAGAAGTTCGAAAAGGTTACCATTAGGAGTAAACTCGTTGACAAGAACAGGAACATCCGTCTCAAGACAACACCCCAAGAGTTTCGCAATGTTTCTGTGGTTGATTTTCGATAGATTGACAACCTCGTTGATGAACTCTTCCACCTTGTCTTCCTCCACGACTTTAGACTTTTTCGCCGCTACAATTCTACCATCAACAAGCATTCCCTTGTAGACAGTACCTTGACGGCCAAGAATTCTATTTGAGTTAAAGTTTTCAGTGGCTTTTTCCAACTCACTTGAATCGAACAATCTTGTGGTTTCGTCGTTGCCTTCCGTTGAACTTAACTGTTGTTGCAACAATAAACCTCCATTACGTTTGAAGAACTTCTTCTTTTGGCGTAACCTCCTTCCCTCACTAATAGACTTGTATAACCCGTATATTCCAGCAGCAGCAAGCAATGACCCTAAACTCGAGCCAACACCTACAAAACCCACAAAAGAAAATGAAAACCAAAACAATCATAAAACAAATTACTCTTATGGCTGCGAGTGTATTTGAGAAAGAAATATGCACGATTTACCTGTAGCAGCGAGTGGCCGACGATTTTTGTGCACACAGTCATAGGTTCCTTGCAAATTGACACACTTTCCGCCCTTACAGCGCCACAGATTTCCATCAACGTCTTTTTCAAGACATTCATTAATATCTGGTTTTTAAAATATAATGAAACTGTAATCAATGATGAAGATAGGTCTACTTTTTTTCATCATGATTAGGACTGTACGCCTCCCATGCATTAGAAAATGCGTTTGGCTCGGCCCCATTTGATATTATATAATTTCAAAAGTTCTATTTCTCAAAAGTTTTTTTTTTTTTTTTAATATTTCTCAAAAGTTGATAGTAAAAATAAAGTAAAATTTTATTTTTGGATCAGTTAGGTGAGAGAATTTTTTTAAAGACTTTCTTACGAGGTTTTAAACTATTTCCATACTAAGATAAAAGCTATTTATTAATTTTTAATAAATTTTATTAATTTTTTATTGACAGTCTTAGAAGTTAGAACATGATTATCAATAGATAATATAGTGGG